CTCCGCCTCCTCCCCTGAGCGCTAAGCGCCTGGAGGTAGGCAGAGGAGCGGGGGCACGGCACACTGGGGGGGAGGGGCCAGCGGAGGAGGGGAGCTTGGCAGCCGCAGGAAAAAACTCTGGAGGGGGCGGGGAGCTTGGAGGGCCACAGCAAATAGCGGCCCGTGTGTTTGAGATCCCTGTCCTAAGGCTTATCTCAGATTGCGTTTTCAGTAGGAAAAATAATAGGACTAGGAGTCAAATAAATGAATAAATAAATAAAAATGGAAGTTCCTCAGCCTGCTTCCCCTGGTCTCTGTTTTAAGGAGGCTGTGTTCCATAACTAAACTCTTTTTAGCACAATGAAAGTCAATTCCCTGTAAAATGTATTTCAGACACTTTGGGAACAGTGCTTGAATAGATGCCTCCGTAGGCCTCTAGGCCTCAGTTCAGCTGACCCTGCCTCATTATGGGTTTGCTGCTGGACTCAATACATGCATTTTGATTAGTCTAATTAAAACAGAGCTCAGACATAAGTGAAGCAAACAAATCTCCATGGTTGGTCTCTGTTTCCTGATTGCCCCTGTGACCTTTAGCTTTTATCTAAGATGCAGACAAGAGCTCTCCGAGGAGATGACCACTCACTATTTTTCAAGGCAGATCTTGAACCTCAGTCTCATAAAAACACTTAGAGCTACTATCTCAGCCTTGGGCTTGCTTTCAAGTGTACGTTACATACAGTAGCCACTCCTATCTAGCATTTAAAAATGTAAAAATAAAAGTAGTAAGTAAAACCAGGGCCTGGTTTTCAGACCTAGGTCTTGCATTTGCACACCTAAATTGTGTGCATTCACTGCACTACTGCAGTAACGCCATGCACAAACGACCAGCTCCTGCAGCTTCATAAGCAATTATGATGTAGTGTAACACAAACATTTGCACGTGCTGTTGAAACAATTGTATCTTTTCTCATGCAGACCTCTGTAAATCTGGCCCCACTATCTCTTTCTTGTTTTTGTTATTTTCTACTTGCTGCTCTATTTATTCCTGTATTTTAGAGGGAATTTTACTCTATAATAACCCATCTTCATACTTTAATTAAAATCATGGAAATAGTCTCTTTGGTTAGACAATATTCTACAACACATGGCAGTTAGAAAAGAAAGGAAAGTCTAAGCCAACAGGACCTGCTAAGAGTAATATCCATTGAAACCCACACAAGAAGATTCCTTCTTCAGCTGTTGTAGCAGGGGATGAAAAAACTCTAAAGCTGGGTATTCTGTTGTGGGGGAGCAGCAGACATTTAACCTATTAAGGACTTCTCTTTGCCAACATTTAATATTATTCTATTTTCTTCTAGGCTTTTTACAAGAGTTATTTTTCTCTTAAGCCATTTGGTTCTCCACTCCCCATTGATATCAATTAATAGGTTAGGCACAACTTGTGCCATGAATCGAATTATGGGTTTAAAAAAGCTGTAAAGATTGATTTAATCCCCTCTCCATTTGTATTGACTTAATTTAGCTGCACTTTCCTGATTTTTCTGACTGTTACATTCACATGGGCTTAGTCTTTGTAGCCTCTTTCATCCAGTTCACAACGACTGCTGGTATGTGCACAAAGTGAATTTCTAAAGGACCGTTCATTGCACTACAAAACCACGACTACAGCCTGTCATTATCGGCCATGCAGTATGTGGGTGTATACAAAGCATCTGGCTGTATTTTACAAGGGTAACAATGTTTAAGTGCTCAGCTGTATTTTATAATCTGCAGTTTCAGAAAAATCTAGTACAAAATAAAACCTGGTTCCATGCAGAAAGGATTTTAATCACAAACCAGGTAGAAATCTGTGTGATTAAATAGTTTCCTACAGTACAGCAATATAACTGGGTAGCCTGGTGGCACAGTCGAAAGGCAACGGGAAACCCAGAGCAGGGACTCCATCCAGGATAGTAGACAATCTACTCAACTTGGAGGTTATGATGAAGTGATACTAAAATGAGTAATGTGATGGGATTAGATTGGCACTATTTAGATGATTTAAAAATCTGAATCAGAGTCCTGGTGGAGACTCTTGGAAGGGGCTTCCCTATTTTGTCAAAGGTATGGGAAGCTCTTGGAAATGTAATATATAAAAATTTAACAAGGAGTTTCGTCATGGAGTGGATATTGCACTCTGTTACTTTTCCATTGTGTAGAAATTTGACTATCCAGAAGCCTTATCAGCAGAGTGAGTTACATGTGAAATAGACTTGCATATGCAATGAGGCTTTCCAGTCTATTGGTACATAAACAATATAGGTGCCAGCTCTCAAAAGGAGTGCCTGCTTGCTTTCCCCGGGTATGCACACAAAAGGAGGCAACTGACCTCAGGCCCTTCAACCTTAAGATCAGAAGTATTCAGACACTTCAATACAAAGGACAAAGCAACCCAGTGTTATCTTACCTTCTGCAGATAATGAAATAGCCCCTGTCCTTGAATCTACCTGGAACATATTCTCTAAGGGTTGGCTTGGAGTCTGAGTGAGGATTTTATACCGTAGATCAGCATTTGGTGTGGAAGGGTCATCCAAGTCAATAGCACTGACCCGCATGAAAGACGTTCCTGGATTTAGAAAGATCACAGATTGGGTTTGGTGGCACAATGGTTTATCTAAAAAAACATTTTAATTCAACATGAAAAATGCTTTCTGTCACAGAATTTCAATTCTCCTTCCTTAACTTGACTCTTCCTATCTAGAATCAATTTAACTGTGTTGTGACTATAGGCATTTTATATGTGTTTTTTTTTTCATGTGAAGGTGACAGCATAAATATAGTGTGTGTAACTTCCCCTCAGTTGCTTTATTTAACCTCCCTTTGTGTAGTCATGCTAGAATACTAGTTTCTTTTGTAAACTTACATCAATTAAGATTTTAAATTCCATGGATCCTTCATATGGCTACCATACATGATCTGGAATAATAAATGCTTTGCAGTTATGTAGCACCTTCTATGCAAGGCACTTGGAGTCCTGTACAACCAATGAGTTTAACCTCACAACATTCCTTATGATCCCCCTTTTACAGGTTCCGTGTTTCCAGCCCTCACTGTAGTTGGTGTTTTTCTTAAAGCACCGACCCCTGGAAGCATTTGATCAAGTGAGGCTCTCAGCTGGGAAAGAGTAAATGTCTAGCATGCATGGTGGCAGAAACAAGTTTGAAAATGTGACTTAAGTGCACCCTAAAGGCTCAGAAACTGGAAGGCAAATATAACCCCCTCCACCCCCACCCAGTATTATTATTTATTATTATTTATTATTATTTTATTTTTAATCTCATGATTTTTAAGACAATCTCATATTTTTGAGGCCTGATTCAAGAACACCAGAGCTGACTGTCTTTAAGACGTGGTCAGAGTAGAGCCAAGTTCTGCCTTGGTTTTACCCCTTGTGTAAGTGGGGTAAGACAGAGAGTGGAGAGCAGGAATTGGTTCATGGATTATACAATCAGTATTCATAAAGTGCTGATGTCACACTGTCATCACAGTCATTTGGCGGGTTAACAAACACAGACAGACATTGACAGAGTCCCAAGCACCTGCCCGCTGACCTAGTTCCCTTCCTTCCTGGATAAGCCATAATGATGGTCCAATAATGTCTTTAAGGATCATTCCCGGGGATGAGGGGTACGAACCATCAGACTCAATACTTCTGCTATGTTCCTGTTACCGTGTAGTGGGGGAAACTATGGTCGCATAAGGGTTAACAGTTGGATTAATACAAATTGGAAAATAGAATCAGGAAAATGTTGTTAGGTTAAATGCCAGTAACGCATTCAGATTGCAGTAATATAGTTCTCTGCCTGTTTTCCTCAGTCCTCAGTTTTTGTGACAAATTGTAGCAAATGACAAGTACCCATTAAAACTCATTTAGTCTTCACACTGTGAAACCTGTTACTGCAGCATGAGATTGCTTCCATGGCTTTCGCAATCATATGGAAATGCACTCCAAACTTTTTATAACGTTCTACAGTACAAAGAATGCTGTTGTCAAGAACCCCCTCCTGGGATATGATACAAAGCCGCACAACCAAAGCAACCCAAATGAATGCATTGAGGAAGCTGTCACACTTAAGGCAACTACAGATTTCAGACAAAGAAATTGTATTATTAATTAAGGGCCTTATTCTCCTCTTATTTACACCTGCTTTACAGCAATATAAGCCAGTGGAGTTCAATGGAGCTACAGCTGATTTTCAGTAGTGTAAGTACCACGGCCTCTTACCTGCTGTCCTGACTGACACCTGTATTAGCATAAAATGCTACCTTTCTTAGATGGGAGCTTTTTACACCTCCTTCGCTTTCACTTTGCAGGGGGTGAAGTCAGTGGAGAACCAACTCAGTGTTTAACCTAGACCCTCTTAGGGTATGCTGGGCAAGGACGAGCAGTGTTTTTAAAAGGGTGCTTGCTAACATGTTTTAAAACTTTACTGTAGATAGGATAAGATGGGTTTTAACACACATTAGCAGATAGAAGCAACCCATTGAACTCCCCCTTTGGGGTTCACCTCAACCGGCTAACATTAAAATACAACTTGCCCTGTCACCACTTGAAGCTTAAAATGTGATTTTTTTTTTAATCTTCTCAAGACTCATCCTTATGCAGAGGAGCCAGAAGTGTAAGTTAAAATAGGGTGGGGGTTACCCCTACTTAGACCTCTTTGGCCTTGGTAGAGTGGATGTAGGTAGTGCTAAGGGAGTCTGTTGGTGTAAGGGAACTCACCTTACACATCTTTTCTGATCTTGGCCTCTCTATGGTACTGGGCGAGCAATTTAGGCCTAAGTGTTCAGAAGTGTCCACTAATGTTGGATACCTCAGTTCAAGGTGCCCAATTTGAGACACTTACCCACTGTGCCTTGGTTTTCCACAGGGGCATTGTGAGGTTTAATGTTTGTGAAGGATGTTGAGATCATCAGCTGAGAGGCTGTAAGTGCAAAGTACCTCAGCATCTACCACAAGATATCACAGCTCAGGAGATGTCCCAGAGCAATTTGCATGTACTCAGTGGAGATGCTGAGCCAAGGGGGGGTTGCACTAGTGTCTATGAGAGCTGAGTTTGGCCCCTGTGTCATAGAATCATAGAAATTTAGGGCTAGAAGGGACTTCAAGAGGTCATCTAGTCCAGCCCCTTGTCATCTCATGCCATCATGACATATCAGTTGGAAGATACCTCATTTCACTGAGGTGCCTGACTTTGGAGGGAGTAAATTTTCAGGAAACTTTTCTCTGTGTTTTATAGCCTAGATCACATTCAAATGTCTTTGTTGACATGAGGACTTAGATGCACAGGCAGATTAATCTGATGGTTTAACCATGTCAAACTTTCTGACTTCCTGTAGGAAAGCCCTGAAATTACCTTGGGTTCCATTTTAAAAACATTCTCTTTCTGACTTTATGCTCAGCTAGGCAATAACGTTTGTTGTTTAAAAATACGTTGTGAATTTTATCTATAAAACTAATGATAGAACAGTCTAGCTTCTAAGATAGGCTCCTTTTAGCCTGCTTATCTCCTCCCTGACATTTCACTACTGAGCATCAGTGATCAGGAAGCTTTGTACTGTGCAAAAGGCTATGGAACAAGCAATCACATGGTTTCTATATTTTCTCTCTTGTTTACTGCATATATAGCGACCAAATGACAAATGAAAAGAATGTGCTAATCCCAAAGAGAAAGGCACTCAGCTTCTCACATCCACACGTATGGTTATGGTTATCTCTGAGGAGGGAAGCCATTTTGTACTTGTTCATTTTCCCTCTAGCCCACTCGTCCTCAGAGAGCAGATAATCTCTGAGTTGTTTCTAATATAAACATGATACAATTTATATAAATGGATGGATGGTCTTAAAAATGGAACATTTCATCAAATGTACCAAGATTAGCATACACATTGTATAAAAACCTTGGCATGAGTCAAGGGGCGGAGGCAAGTAAAAATGAAATAGATCTTTATAGAAAGGAGTCAGGGAGTCACTGTTACCTTGCTTTGTCCCTTTGCTAAGAATTCCAGAGAACGTATCCTCGGTCAAGACTGGCATGTTGTCATTTTCATCTTTTACTGCTATTGTTATGGTTACAGGGTTAAAAACCAGCTGCTTGTCTTCATCTTTTACTGTCACCTGATTTTAAAAGAACATGTATTTCAATAGTACTCATTTGCACATGCTGCCTTTTAAGGTTAGTGTGAGGGTATGTGTACTGTTTCTGTAAATCTATAACAAGAAGCCAAGAGGGAGGGGTGCTGAGGAAGGTTCTAGGCAGAAGCAGTGGAAAAACTAGACTAGGGTTAGGGATAATGCTATTTTATTTAAAGTTCCTTATTCAGTGTTAGAAGAAAGTTGTGATTCTTTACTGTTGACACATGACAGTAAGATTAACATACCCTGTGTATACACCAGCCAGCTATGATTTCTTAGTGACAAATGTGCTGCTCATTGTGGCCATCTCTAACTTCACTGCAAAAGTGGGGAATGGACCCAAATCCTCCTGCACTGAAGGCACAGGCTACTAGCCCTTGAACTGATGGAGAATCACCATTAGCTGTTAGCAGTAAGGGGTCTATGACCCTCAGACCAGTTCTCATTCTATCCAGTAGAGGGCAATACTCAAAATGCAGCAGAAAGAAACAAAATATAATATATAGGTTTATATGATAAAGAATGGTGACCTCTGGCTCAGGCCTCACCTGGCCTCAGTGCTGACATAGGTAATATGCCTCTGGTGGCTGCGGGGAGAGGTTGATCAGAGACAGCTCCTGTACTTCTTTTTGTGAGGATGCAGAATACACTGCTCTTCTGTTCACTTAGGTCCCCAGCCAGTGCAGAAGGGGTATGGGAGAACAGCCTTGCCTTCACTCCACACTCCCAGGCCTTTCAGGGTATTTTGCACCACAGTCACTAGAGCTAACAGCCCCTCAGCACTAGCATAAGTTAGGGGACTGTGGTTGTTCCTGACCAGGTGAACAATGGGAGGGAGTTTCTTGCACCCTCTTCTGCACCCAGACAGGGCTAGCCACAATCTTGCCCCATGAGTTGTCCAGAAAGAAGGTTGTGTGGACAGACAACCCGATATCTGTATTTAAATGGCATTCCCATTTCATATGCAGAAAACAGCCCAGCACTTTTACTGCTGGGCAGTCTATTGAAATGATTGTCTAACTTCAGTTTGTCACAAATACACAAAAACATCACCAAACCCATGCGTGGGAAAAAGTACATTCTCTGCCCTACAGAAAACAGGCTTATGCATCAGCCACACTGGGAGGAGGTTTCTAGATCAGGGTTGAGAGCATTAGAACAGCAGTGAGGGATGTTAGATACTTATAATAAATCTGAAGAAGGATAAATAGAAACTCGTGTTAGGAGTAGGTACTGCGCCTTTAAGAGCAGAGCACATGTTAGAGAGAAGGGGATTGGGCCAGGAAGAACCAGCTGGAAGCAGTCCAGATGGTTTCTTAGGAAAGTCTAGATATGGTGCTGAGCTACTGTAACTCCTGTAGAATTCAGTGAAAGTTGTCGGTTCTCAATAGGTGCTCAGTACACCTCCAGATCTGGCCCAAGCTGCTGTAAAAGGTGGTACAAAGTAAACTCATTGTGCCAGTAATCAGAGTATTAATGCACAGTGCACTAATGCAGTTTTGTAAGGCTCAGCGTGTAAACAGGACTCTGTACATAAGCTTTACTTTGTGTAAATGCTGAATCAACTGGAGCAGACTAGATCTAATGCATTTAGTCTGTAAACCTTGGATTCAATGAAGAGTGACAGACCTCCATGGAGTCAAAAACAAGGTGGACACAGTCTCCGCCCCCCAAGCCCAGGCCATTAGTTGTTAAATTCAAATTTAGGCACCTAAATGAATGGCCGAAATGATTTTCAGAGGGGCTGAGAGCACCCATAGCTTCTGTTGATTTCCATGGGAGTTTGCCAGTGTAAGGACTGAATAAAAACTGAGGGAAGGTCTTAGGAGTTGGTCCTTGAGTTTTTTCCTTTTGGTATCTGGCAATATTTACTTCCAACAGAACAAATGACAATGGCATTAGACAGCTGCGGGAGGGGGGTGTAGTAGGGCAGTGAGATGAGATGGGGCTTGTGCCATCGGAGTGTGCCAGACCTGAAGAGTGTAGAAAGCTTGTTTCTCCCGGTCCAGGGGTCTACTGACGTAGAGAATGCCAGACTCTGGATCTATTCCAAATAGGCCTTCTTCATTTCCAGCCAACTGAATGTCAGCCTCACCATTGAGCGTGTTGTTTATCTGAAGCTGGAAATCAGGTAATTAAGGGAGTATGTTAGTGCAAAGCAAAAGAGGAGAAAACATTTTACTCCTAATAGATGCATCTTATTTGCCATTTGGGGCCTCACAGCTACTAATACTCAAAGCGCAATGCCTGCCATTTGTAATAGCTGGCCACCAAGGGCCATTAATTCTTCTTGGTTCATGCTCAGATTCCATGGATACTAATGTGAGATCACCACTAGGCATGGCCCAAACAGCACAACACATCTGTGGACTAGGCAGAAGATGGGGAGGTCTTTTACCACTGGATACCTGGAGAGTATTGTCATCTGGAAGTGACATTTGTCTCTGGGAGAGGTTTGAATCCCCAGGTTCCACTTTCAAAACAGGAGGCTGTGGTGAGCCAGCAAGTGGGAGGGCAGAGAGGCGTACTGGGGAATGATGCAAATGAAGGAGGCTCCGCTCTTCTTATGTGGCCCAACACTTGACATGTATCCAGGAATGGCCTTTCCCACCATGGACCCAGAGCAATCCTCATTTGCAAATTCATACTAGTCAGATGGGGATTCTGGCTGACGATGTTAAACAGTTGCATAGTTTTAAATTAATATTTGTTTCTAATTTCTTTTGCTTTTTGGCTCCTGTTCTGTTACTATACAAATTCTTATTCTTTACATAGAGCTGCAAGTGCACATGGCACTTTGCAACAGCTGATCTGTGTCAAATAAGTAAACCTCTGTCTCAAGAAGAACAATAATACTTAGCTCTTGTATAGCACTTTTCAGCCATAGATCTCAAAATGCAGGGCTTAAAATTTAAATGTACAAGCAAGCACAATAGACAGACAAACACAGAGTGGTATCCGGTCATTAAGGGCCCATTCTTTCTGTACTTACTCAGGCAAAACATCCAGTGACTTTAGCGGACATTTTGCCTAAGTAGGAAATTCAGAATTAGCTCGAATGCTTCAAGAACAAGTACATTTTGTAAGTTATTTTCAAGGAGGAGGCATCTTGACACACAATAAGATACTGAGTTTATTATTCTCTAATTATTCTGATTAAAAATTGAGGGGCAGATTTTCAGTCTTCAAAAATGTGCCTACAAATATTTGCAGGTATATCCATTTGAGTGCATAAAACTTGAATTTGCACACACAACTGTAAAAGCAGCAAAGAGTCTGTTAGTCTATAAGGTGCCACAGGACTCTTTGCTGCTTTTACAGATCCAGACTAACACGGCTACCCCTTTGATACTTCACACACAACTGGACACTTAGAGAGTCCCGTGACCATTACATGTTGCACATGCAAGGCTTATTTTTTCAGGCCCTCTGAAAATATGGCCCTTAATATTTTTATTTTAAAAAATGTCTCTGTCCCTGGCACCAATCCATGTGCCCATGCACTTAGAAGGTACCAGCTCTGGAAAGTGATACTGCTGTTACTATTGACAAAGTAGTTCTGACACCAAAGACTCAGGCCTGGAAATACCCATATTTTTGTGCTGATACTGGCTTTAACTTTACTGACTATCAAAGCTGACCTTAAAGCATCCGAGTTGGTGGTGCAGAGAACAGCAGCCATAAAATGGCAGTGATCTGCTTGAAGTCAATTTAAGTACAGACTGAGTTACAGAAAACACTTATTAAATGGCAGATGCTGCTTGTGACTATGAAAGAAAATGACGTTTTACTTGCTATTCTAACAGAGATCAATTATTGAATTCAAACAAGTTGTTATGAATTAAAAAAATGCAACTATCAGTGATAGTTATTGATCCTGTTTTGTTTCAGTAATGTGCTCTCTGACTTTTGTGTTAAAATTACTTAGCTTTTATTTTCTTATACAGTTTTACCTTTTCCCCATTTCTAGGGAATGACTTTTTGGAATCTATTAATCAGAAGAATATCTATATGGCATGGGACTATTTAAAATACACATTTAACCTGAGTGACTACAGTAAATGGTGTTTACTTACAGATTCGGATCAGCATTTTTTATTTTCATCAAACATTATGGAAAGACCACACTTAAATGGATACTAGTGTAAAACCTAAGATAGACTGGATCTGTTCCATATTTCTGTGAAGATTAAGGATATGGGCCATAGAAAACTGAAACATTTGGGGTATAAATCGAAAAATTTCTATTGGAAATGCCAGTGAGGTGCCTTATGGAGTTTTCGTTTCGGTCCCTCATGCTTCTCTACGGACTGGGTTCTCCAGACAAACATTTCCTGTGATGCACCATGGCCAAGAAATCCCATGATATTCAGCTGGTTGTGGTTCAAGAAGAGGGAAGACTATGGTGCATTATGGGAGACATAGTGTGGCTAGGGACCCCAGCCCAGAGAGGAGAATGAGATCATGAGGCACCTGGACTAAAACTCCCAGTATGTAGTCCAGAAGCATTTTCAAATCAAAATTTTCAGCTTTCAACCCCTTGTTTTTTAGTTGAAATGTTTTCAGTTTTTTATTTGTTGCTAAAAATTCAGACATTTCCATGGGAAATTTCAACCATTTTTTTCCATAAAATTAACAACAAAAAATAGAAAATTTCAATTATTGAGTTCTCAGCTCTTTAGGCAAATTAAGATCAATCGAATCTTTCCCTTTTATTGTTCACATTGAACTCCCAACTTCAAACCACGTCACTAACACAAGACATGGCTGAAATAGTTAATCATTATGGAGCAAAAAACAGATTGCCAAAAACAAATGTATTCAATTCAATATATTTTTATATGATGACAACAGCTGGCTCCTGTGTTTCCTGGATACTAGCACTTTGAGGATGGAAGAGAGCTACTAGGGATTAGAAAGCAGACAGAAAACAAAGAGTTAAATTGACTTTTTTATATATAGCAAAAAGGTCCTATTATACAATGGCCCATTGATAGAGAGTCAGTAGTCTGACTCTCCTCTCCATCATGCCAGTTTTGCCCTGGCATGACTCCAATAATTTTGGTGGAGATACTCCAGATTTACACCAGTGAAGATGAGGATCAGGCCAATGAAATCTTGATTAGGTCTTTAGCTGAAGTCTAAGGTATTTTACCATTTGTCACCTTGTTGGTTGTATGAATCAGTATTTAAATTCCTACCTTCTTCAGATACAGAGGGAATGAACCACCATAATTTTCAGGTACCTCAATGTATTCTTCCCTGTTGGTGGGATATATTGCAGACAACACTGCGAAAACCTGTGGAAGAGGATTTAGCCTCTTAGTTTTGTCAAAAGCAAATGAAAATATTTCTTAATTTAATTTTTTTCCTGGCAACATGTCCCTTGCTTCAAAATCATGGCCCAGATTCTGATCTCATTGACACCACTGTGACTCCATAGAAGTTAGCGGAGTTACTCTGGATCTACACCAGTGTAAAGAGATTAGTATGGGGTTCAGTGTCCTCAGACTTTTCCTAGTGAGAATAAATGTATATGCAGTGCCTGTAAGGTGTTACTCTAATCCGTCTCTGCTCAGATAAGAGATGTGGAGCTGATATGGAAATGGCAATCATTTTGCTATGAGTTAACAAACTAAATAGACCATCCTATTACATATCCGTCTTCCTTTATGGTCACTGTCAGCAGCCTGACACAGAACAGCTAGTCTCAGCCAAGGTTCAACCTGTTTCTAGCAGCAAATAGGATAAGGTAGTAGGTCCTCATATAGGACCTGATTTTGAAAGGTGCTGAGTGCCCACAACTTCCATTGAAATCAGGGGAGCTGCGCGCTCTCAACACCTTTTAGTATTAGCTTTTGGTCACTATGATCCTAGCTCCCTAGTCTGAGAACAGAACCAGAAACAGCTCCTCTTCCCCCTCCCCTGCCCTTAAAGTGATAGCTTGCAATTGCAACACAGTCCTCAATATACCACAATAAATGTTTTGAAGACCTCTTCTTTGTCAGAGCTGTCAGCTATCATGATGATGAATACAATGCCTAGATTGACTGATGTCAGAGTAGCCTTATACACTACTTTTCCTTTGTTGTATTTTATAGACTTTATGGATTCCTTCTTATATAAAATGTAAAACAGGAAAACTCTGGATATGGCTATAAACACACCTTGCTCAGTCTGTTTAGTTAATATGATGTCATCAGAACTCCTTGCTATGCATAGCACTGTTTCTCAGTACTGGTGTAGTAGTGTCTTCAGTATAAAATGTCTCTGTGAAATTGGGTCCATATGTGTGTCTTGTAATGTGTGTTTGTGTGTGTGTGTGTGTACATCGGGGTCGGCAACATTTGGCACGCGGCTCGCCAGGGTAAGCACCCTGGCAGGCCGGGCCAGTTTATTTACCTGCTGACACGGCAGGTTCGGCCGATCACGGCCCCCAGTGGCAGCGGTTCACTGTCCCGGGCCAATGGGGGCGGCGGGAAGCCGCGGCCAGCACATCCCTTGCCTGCGCCGCTTCCCGCCACCCCCATTGGCCCGGGACGGCGAACCGTGGTGAGTGGGGGCCGCGATCGGCCGAACCTGCCGCGTCAGCAGGTAAATAAACTGGCCCGGCCCGCCAGGGTGCTTACCCTGGCGAGCTGCGTGCCAAATGTTGCCGACCCCTGCTGTACATAGAGCATATGCCATCCTATAGAAACTGAAATCACAAGTAACACATTTTATTTATTTGATAACTAGAGTTAACAAATTATATATGCAATAGCAACTGAGAAAGGAAGATACACTATTATTGCTCATTATTCTAATATAGAGACATAATAGATATAGCCAAATCTTGAACCTCAGAGAATTGTATTATAATGTACAATGCTACTCTAATGGATGGTGAATGTGTTACAAAAAAATCCAGAAAGGTACAAATGATTCACAGAACAGTAATATATAACAAAAGAAAGCCTTGAATAAGGAAAGAAAGCCTTGAATAGGCAGGGAACACTCTTATAACCATTCACAAACACACAGAACATTTCCCACTGAATACAGGAGTACTAATAACTAGAAATGGGGAGATCTCACCAAGTATGTGTCTCTTTGGTACTACTGTCTAGATATCAATACCTAACATCAAGAGATGTCAATGAAGTAAATATTCTTCCATTGGAAGTGCGTGTGTGTGTGTGTGTGTGAGAGAGAGAGAGAGAGAGAGAGAGAGAGAATATGTTTTGTCAGTGTTTAGGTGTATGTGTAAGAGAGATTTATTTTAACCTGTATAAACTCTACATCATTAACCTCCAGCAGTGTTTCGTACTTGTGTCCATACTTCTCTACTCTTGTTGGGTCATTGCCCTTATCAACCTGTTCCCTTTCTACCTAAGTATACAACAGATGCATTAGTAAGTGCATCTTGGTCAAATGCATTATGGATTTATTGTGTTCAGAGCGTTCATAATCATATTTAGCTCCTCTATTCATGGTGTATACACCTGTGAGAGTTCACAATATGCTTCAGGAATAGGTTCAAATCAAACTTCTTCCCATGCTCCACGAATTGTGTTTGCAAAGCTGAGGGTTCTTCTGAGCCAGTAATATGGGGGGATTTGTGTCACAATATCATGGACCAAACAACATCACATCACAACACAGCACTGTAACATTATGGTTGCTAACCCCAAATTCATGGAAGTTTGTGTTCAGTTTGCTATTGCTTAGAACTCACCCTGCTCTGGGGAGACTGGATTTTAATCCTTCCCAAACCATTCACCCAGATATACCCAACTTCATGAGTATGGATCAGTTGGTAAATGTGGCCATGATGGGGAGCTCTGGCTTCAGCATTTGTAGGTGTGGATAAGAGTTGTATTGGAAGACGTCTTAGGTAGGCTTCACAATTAGGACTTTTTTTTTTAAGATACTGCTGCATATCCAGAATTAGACTCTCTGGGCCCTATCTTCTGCTGCATTGCATCTTGTGAATGTAATACCAACAGACCCCAGTTGTCGGTGGGCGGGATCAAACTTGGGACCCTGGAACTAAATGAATGAGCCTCTACTGCATGAGCTAAAAGCCGTATGGCCGATAGCTAAGGCTGTAGAGCAGACTCATTAATCTCTTTCTCTCTCTAAGTGGTCTCGGTGCCACTAGATGGGACAGAGCACCTCACCCAGGAAGTGTGTGGGTTACATGTAGCCATTTACACCCGAGTGCAATATTTCTGATTTGGTAGCTTTTTACACCCACTTTGTACAATGGCTTCACTGGGTGCATGACAGTGAAGAATCAGGCCCTGCACACTTCATCTGATCTAACTTACCTCAGTGTAAACTCGACTGAGTGGGGTAGCTCCTGACTGAGACCTCATTCAGCAAGATTCTTAAGCATGTGTTTAACTTTACGCACATGAGTAGGGGGACTAGTCATGTGGGACAACTCGTGTGCTTAAAGTTAGTCATATGCTTAAGGACTTTGCTGAACTGGGGCCTTACATTGGTAAGCAAGGTCAGAATCAGCCCCAATAGATGTTGCCGAGCCAAAAATGTCTCTAGACCCGGTAATAAAGAATCTAATTTCTGTTTCTTCTCTTATTAAAAGGCACAGGCCAGATTTATGGCATGAGAAATTTACCCTGCACTTTGCATCATAGGAGTTTAGAAACAATGGGGAGTGGATGGGTGGGGAATTACAAAATTGTTCTTAAAGCTAAAAGTTGTTGTTTTATTTAATTGATATATATAATGTCAATTTTGGAGTTTAATATTGTTTTCCTCTTTGTTCTCAAGAACTATATCTGATACTTTATGATAGAATATTGTACTAGTTTACGTAGGGTGACCAGATAGCAATTGTGAAAAAACGGGATGGGGGTGGGGGGTAATAGGTGCCTATATAAGAAAAAGTCCCAAAAAACGGGACTGTCCCTTTAAAAATGGGACATCTGGTCACCCTAAGTTTATGTTCATTCTGTTATAAGGGCCTTTTATTGTCTGACTTCTAGGTTATTTAGTATATGGAGTCTTGTAGCATGTACCATAGTAAAGTTATTAACATAAGCAATGCATGTATGTTCATAGAAACCTAAGATGCAATACAAACATGATATGTGTAAAATATATCACTCACTTGAATAACGGAAGAGTAGATAATCAGTAGCCAGACAGGAAACATGCATTTAGACACCCTAAAGTTAAATGAAAGAAACCTCACATGAGTTGGAATTCACTTGAGAAACAATATTCCCCCCTCCCCGACTTAAATTCTCTGTTTTGCCTCTGAAATCACATAGCAAGATAAAATTTATATGGTGAAACATGGTTATAATACATATCTGAGCCCGTTTGAAATAAAGTCAGGGACCTAGAAATATACAGGTCCTGACCAGGAAATATGTAGACTGCATACCATCTAATGTAGAACTGGCAGAAGGTGCTATATGATACAGCTGGTCACCCCCATTTTTGAAGTTATGTATTAAATCTATCTATGATTATCCATTAAATGTTTGAATGCATGTTGATAGGACAGGAGTACAAAGCTTTACATCTAACCACAGAAGAGTTTCTGAGCTAGCAGAATTAAAGCAAACTCCCCACACATTATTGTCACTGCATCTCAGCCTGGCCCTGCATGGACCACCCCTACAGGAAAGAGGGTAGTCCTTAGCCTCCCCTCTGGCACTGCCAACAAGCATTACACTTGTGACAGTGACTTTTGTGATGCTGACACCTTTTGAGACCACCAAACCTATTTCATTCAGTTAACAATGACTTTCAATCTGTGCTGACCCGAGTCAGATTTCAGTCAGTGGCATCATAGCAGGTTCTGTTGTTGCTGCTGCTATTATTTTTGCAGTGCTGAGAGGCCCAAATCCAAGGAGGCCTGTTGTGTTAGGTAATGCTTAATTTGTAAAGAAAGAGGTGCCAGGGCTTAAGCGAAACAAAATGGCATCCTCTGCATCACATGACCTTGCACTCACCATATGTGCAAGGTCACGCCTTGCATGCAATGTAGAATTGCATGCCTTACTAAATGCCACTGACAGAAGAGGTACTGGGGCTGTGCCTAGCATGAAAAGAGGGGCCAGGGCTGAGCACAGGGCAAGCCTCAGCACAAGTTAAGCCCTGATGCTAGGTACAGCACAAATACATAGCAGGAGATAGTTCCTGCCCGGAAGATGCTGCAGTAAAAATAGGTGAGATGATGAAGGGTGGGAGGGCAAACAGTGAAGTGAAGTGACTCACCCCAGATCACCCAACAGGTCAGTGGCAAAACCAGGAACAGAACCCCTGACCCAGTCCAGTGCCCTGACCACTGGATGTGCTGACCATCTGGCCCCTATACTTCTGATTACTCCAAGCTTCACTGAAAGATCTTTGTTTCTTTAACTACTTAAAATAAGTTTGATGTCTGCAACACTTTTTTGTTCTGGTGAGGTTCAGCCAAAGAATGGATCATCAGAAGAGCAACACAATGGTTTGATACCCCAAGACAAACCACTGTAAAGGAAGTGTCTTGCTAGAAAGCTCTTAAACTTGGTGAGCTGTAGCCCTTTTTTTTTTGGTCACTTAAAACAACAGAATTTTGGCCTTGTGGTTTATTGTTGTTTTATGTGTCGATGTATTTTAAAGGACCTACAAAGAGGGTAAAATATAGTTATGCCCTTGTTGCTTCTTTCTGTTATTTAAAGAAGACTTGAAAGGAGTTCTTAAAGCACTTTTTTCTTCTTTGCTTTTCACAGCAGAAATAGGTCTTGATTCCCTGTCTTTGCTGGAATGCTACTTGTATGACTGGAGAACTCGTTGGATTATAACTTCACAAGACTGAAACCTGAGCAATTTAACAGAGAAGGGATTTTTAGTGAGGCTGTTTAAAATTTGTTTATTTAGTTTTATTAACACCTGTTTAACTCGAATTTCTTGCAAACACTTGGGAGGAAAGCTCTCTTTGTTAAAGATTCTCTTCTCCTTCAATGCACAATTGAGAAAGCTCCTACTCAAGTCCAAGGAGTTAAGTAGCAGATAAACAAAAACCAAGACTTAATATTTCTGATGTTTGTAATGAAAAAACACAAAATAGAATTTTTTTAAAAAAACTTTCAAGCTTTTCTTATGCAATATAAATAATCAAAAAGAGGCACAAATACATTTTTTCTTCTGTAGGTCACCTTTAACATAATCCTACAGTATTCTTATTTTCTCTCTCCCTGAGTCCAAATAACTTGAGCTGGTAGTAGGCCTCTTACTATGCTAGGTTCTAGTTAATACTATGCCAGGAAAATACTGGTTCACACAAGCTCAACCTGCCTTAAATACATTGCTCATGTCTCACATTAATTTACTTGCAGATCTTTAAGGCAAAAATTAAGCAGAAGACCAAAACAAATGTAGTCCACGAAAGCTTATGCTCTAATAAATTTGTTAGTCTCTAAGGTGCCACAAGTACTCCTGTTCTTCTTTTTGCGGATACAGACTAACACGGCTGCTACTCTGAAAAAAGACAAAAAACCAAACCAATACCAAAACAAACAAACAACATTGCCAGGATTTCTAAGCTCTTATTTATGGTTTCTAAAAAGTTTTGCCTCCTTTCAAGGGTGAGAATTTCAATCTAATGTAAAGATTCCATGTTAATGTTTTCAATGTTCTAAACCTTGAATACTGCTAAACAGAAATACCGTATTGGAATGCTAATGTGAAAGATTGTTATAGCATAAAGCAACAGAGAGCCCTGTAGCACCTTTAAGACTAAGTCTTAAAGATGCTACAGGACTCTCTGTTGCTTTTTACAGATCCAGACTAACACGGCTACCCCTCTGATGTTATAGCATAATAGCCCTTAAGTTAGATTAAGTGATGGTACTGTGGACACAAATTGGACAGATTGAGCCCAATTCTCAGTTACCTCCAAGACAGATAATGGGGTTGCAGGGTGTAACCAAGTTGTTTTTATTCTACACGTGTTAGAAATATCAAATATTAAAATAACAAAATATTTATGAATAACAAATCCATTTCTTATCCACAAATAAATCCACTATTAGAGCATTCCAAGAGAGAAGAGGACATTTGGGCTTAACAGAAATGTTTAAGTTTATTAAAAGGGAATAAAATGGGAAAAAATTGATTCTTCAAAAGCCAGTTATGATTTGCTGTTAGGTTCAGTGTGAGAAACTTGGTGTATTTGTATCCCTGATGTACAATATTTTAAAATAGTTGACAGTTCCCAGGGTATAGGGCAACAAACCAAACAGCAGATGAATCATTTTCATTTCTTCTGTTTTTATATGTGTACTGGACATAGTAAGTTATTATTCTATGCTTAAAAAGCAACAGAGAGTCTTGTGGCACCTTTAAGACTAACAGATGTATTGAAGCATAAGCTTTCATGGGTGAATGCCCACTTCGTCGGATGCAAGGTGATACATCCGACGAAGTGGGCATTCACCCACAAAAGCTTATGCTCCAATACATCTGTTAGTCTTAAAGGTGCCACAGGACTCTTAGTCTGGATCTGTAAAAAAACAACAAACACGGCTGCCCCTCTGATACTATTCTATCTTTGTTTCCTGATGCCTTTAAATCTATTATTTATCAGGGAAGGAATATTGGATTGAACACTGAGAAGAGTAATGCTAAAAGAGAAAGAACAAGCTGATAACAAAATTAATCATGAGGGCACTAACTCACATGCTTTAATTTAAGTGCCATTGACTCTTATATGAGTAAAGTTAAGCACATGTGTAAGTGTTTGCAGGATCAGGTCAAATTAAATTCTTCTGCATGTTAATTTTAGTTTGGACATTTTGGTTGTTCAGTAAGTGGTAGCTTGGTATGTCCTGGTCCTGCAAACACTTAGACGTAACTTTACTCACATGCATAGTGCTGTTGAATTCAGTGGGACTATTCATGTGAGTAAAGTTAAGCAGTGCATATGGTACATCTTTGCAGGATTGGGGCCTCAGTTTCTATTTTTAATCAAATAAAGCCAAGAGCTTTACAGTAGTTTTTGTTGTTGTTTATTGCCTACCAGACATAGAAACATAGTTTCATATTTAGATCATTCAAATATTCAAGACTGTTGCAACAAAACTAATCAACAAATCTTTGCTGGGTTCATTTTCTTAATTGCTCTGTTTGGGTGCATTCATCTGTCAAAACATTCTTGCCCAAAACACAGAGCAAGAAGACGTATCAGATGCTTCCTATTCATAAGTTCATCTCTTTCCTTATTTTTGCCCCCCCTTCCCCCACACACACTCTAAAAAGGGCTTTGAGATTAAATAGACCCAATCCTGCAAGGAATGCAAAATCGGGTTTTATTACATCTGGGACTGCAAGGAAAATATAGGATCATTGGGTGATGTTCTGGCCCCATTGAAATCAATGGCAAAATACTCACTGGCTACAAAGAGGCCAGGATTTTACCCACTTTATTTGTTAATCATTGGTCCCCATCATGGCTGGCTGGCCCTTTGAGGCAAGCTGGGCTCAGCTTTGCCCATGATTTAGCACAGGGGTGGGCAAACTATGGCCCGCGGGCTGGATCCAGCCTGCAAACTGTTTTAAGCCAGCCCGCAAGCCACACCAGCAGCTTGGTCCCACTCCGGTGCTCCAGCCGGGGTGCTGGGTCTGGGGCCGCACTTCGTGGCTTGGCCCCGCTCTGGCCTGGGCACTGGGGCTGCACCATGCAGCCCCGCTTTGGCTGGGGGGGCAGGGGCAGGCCACACCACACGGCTCCTGGAAGCCGCAGCATGGGCCCGCTCCATCTCCTACGTGCTCCAAAGGGAGCTGCAGAGGCGGTAGCTTGCAGATGGAGCAGCGTGCAGAGCCGCCTGGCCGCGCCTCCGCGTAAGAGCCCAAGAAAGGACATGCCACTGCTTCTGGGAGCCGCTTGAGGTAAAGCTGAGGGTTCCCGGAGCCTGCATCCCTGAGCCTCTCCCCACGCCCCAACCCCCTGCCCCAGCCCTGATCCCCCTTCCACACTCTCCCAACCCCTCAATCCCAGCCTAGAGCACCCTCCTACACTCCAAACTTCTCATCCCCAGCCCCACCCCAGAGCTTGCACCCCCAGCCAGAACCTGCACCCCTTCCTGCCCCAGCCCTGATCCCCCTCCCACCCTCCGAACCCCTCGGTCCCAGCCCAGAGCATCCCTCCTACACCCCAAACTCCTCATCCCTAGCCCACACCCCAATCCTAATTTTGTGAACATTCATGGCCCGCCATACAATTTCTATTCCCTCAGGCCAAAAAGTTTGCCTACCCCTGATTTAGCAGCTATCCCTCACTTGTGAGCTGGCAAAATAAGAGCTAATTAGTGGTCCCAGCTGGGTGTAATGGTGCTTAATTAGAAAGGCTGACCCCAGTCAGTGGCGTTGAAGCAGGGTGAGCACGGTTTAAACAGAGATGGGAGCTCAGGAAGACCCTAGAAGGAAGTTTCCCCTCTGGGCAGAGCCTGAGATCGTCAGGCTGTCACCCACAGGGCCAGCCAAAGGAGAGAGAGACTCACAGGGAGCAGAGTAGGCTCCTGTGGGAATGTCTGTGATAGGCCCTAAATGAAGTGGGGAGATCATCAAAGGCAAACTGCAGGAGTCCCTGGCAAAAGGAAGCAGCTGGGGAAGAAGCAAGATAAGAGAGGCTCTGCAGGGACTAGGAGAAGCCCAGACTTCAGTAGTACCTGAGAAGGGCAAAAGAATTATTAGTCTGAGCATTTGATTTGGACTTTAAGTTGGATCTTTTTTGTTACCCCAGATGGGGAGTAAACTGTTGTGTGACTTGGCCAAAGGGTTGAGCTACAGAACTCCTACAGAGGGAGTGAGAAGAAGACAGTGGCTGGGACTGGCCATAACAGCCAAGGAAGTGCCCACTGATGGGGAGTACAAGAAACGAAGTTCCCTGAAACAAGATGCCCAGGCGTGAGGGGCTACCCTAGAGGTGAGGGCACACGCACGTGACAAAATTCTAAATGATATGGGATTATTTTATACTGTAAAATCTCTAAGATCTTCATAATTTAATATCTGTCAATTTACATAAATGAAAGCAAAACCCAGACCTCAAAACAGGGAAAGAGTGTGTGATGTACTGCAGCTCTGTCAAGCTTTTCTTTCCTTTCTTTTTCTAAATGGCAGTGGGTCAGAGCATAACCATCTCTCCAGTTAGAACCGTGGCGATGCCCTAAGATCCAATTTAGGTCTACATAGGTTGTCCTTTCTCCTAATGAGGAGCAACTGATGGGTATAGAATGAATGGTACACTTCATAATGTACTGAATCACTGTGAAGAGTTAATAAAGGAAGATTTGGGTGTAAGTGGAAAAAATTTAGACCAAATTCTACTCTAAAGTCAACAGGGTCACTCTTGATTTACTGCTGTTTTGAATTACACCAGAGTGAGTTTAAGAATGGCCATACTCGGTCAGACCAAAGGTCCATCTAGCCCAGTATCCTGTCTTCCAACAGTGGCCAATGCCAGGTGCCCCAGAAGGAATGAACAGAACAGGGAATCGTCAAGTGATCCATTCCCTCTTGCGCATTTCCAGCTTCTGGCAATCAGAGGCTAGCCACCATCCCTGCCCATCCTGGCTAATAGCCATCGATGGACTTATTCTCCATGAATTTATCTAGTTCTCTTTTTAACTGAGTTTATTTTCTCTTTGAGTGAAAATGGACACTTTCTACTAATTATTGCAAAAATCCTCAGTATTGCCAACCCCAAATGTTCAAAAATCATGAGTCAGGAACCAAAATATTATGATATTTAAATTGATTTATTTAGTATGTCTGAGTGACGTGCAGGGGGGTAGTGGTGTTTTGTGTGCCTTTTGGGGTTAATTCAAGTCACATTTTCATGCTTTTCTCTGCATCCATGAGGCCTAGAAAGCTGAGTGTCTCACAAATCACTTGTCTCCAGGAGTTGGGCCTTGAAGGAAAACCCCATGTATTGCCAGACTCATGATAAAACAGGGAGAGTTGGCAACCCTGACTCCCCTAATGCTGAATCATGGCCTAGTTCTCCTTTGTAAAGTTCAGTCTCCCATTACATTCATTTGCTGAGTTGATGATTTAACCATTTCTTAATGATTTTTAACTAATTTTAATGTACCATGCAGAACTATATTTGCAGTGAATATTCTGAGAAACCATGTTTAATTTGGTATAGATTAATTAAAGTTTCTCCTTGTCCTGGTGATGTGTACCTGATAAATCCTCCCCTCTCCACACCCCCATAAAAAAGGATTGGGTAAAATAAAAGCAGCAATTTGGTGAAGCAGGACAGGGGTATAAACTGAAGTATTCTAGCCTTGTTCAGACATTCCCCAGACTGATGCCTACAGATTTTGGTTTTATTCCAGTTCAAAATATAGTGCTTGGTCCTGCAAACATACCATATAGTCACAGGAGTGCTACTTACACAAATAGCCTCACTAGGCCAAATTCTGCTTTCGGTTACCCCATTGCACAGCATGAGTACAGCCCCAATCCTGCAAAGATTTAAACATGTTTAACTTCACACACAGTGCGTAGTCCCATTGATACAGTGCATGAGGTTAAGCATGTTTTTGTCTTTCCAAGATCAGGACCTAAATCCACTGATTTACCTGGTTTTACTAGAAGCAGGTTTGGCCAATTACGTCAATGAGATTACTTGCATAAGCACTACTCACAGGCATAAGGAGCTGCAGGGTAGGGGCATACATTTTGAAATAAAAAGGTTATTCCTTTCCCTGTCACTGCCCAGATAGTGATGTTAAAATAGTAAGTAATATTAGGGTTTTCAGCTGAGCTCTTTCTTGTTCATCCTTGTGGAAAAATCTAAAGTTGAAAGAAACAGGAAAATTAAAATGCTCTACATCTACTTAGTCCATTATGCACCAAGTGACCCTAACACGCCCATTCAGTGTCATGTAAAACGTTGAAGATGTTTGTACGGTTTTGACAGCTTTCCTCACAACCCCTAAAGATGAATTCAAGGTAGTGTCTAGGAAGATGCCTAAACTTCATCACAAAGGTTTACAAACCTGATCTGGAATTTGTTCCCTGAAATGGATGTTAGTAACCCTTTGAGTCTTAGTTACACCTCTATCTTGCCTGTTTGGAAAATGAGTCTTGCAGTCAGTGAATTAAAAATAGCTTGTTGTTTCTTAAGGGGCCTTTTGAAATACGCAGTATAGAAAACCTCCCGCAATGCATGACGCTGTGAAGAAAACAATTATTCTGGCAACATAGAGCCCCCTCATTTGCTTACTCTCAGTCAAAGCCCCCATCGTTTGTCTGAGCTAAATCCAGACCCTGGCTTATGCAGCAGTAAGGGATAGATAAGCTCCTTATAACTGCATAAAGCAGCTGCACTCCAGACTGACGAATCCTTCAGTGGGTGCATGAGGGTGGGGCAAGGGGGACCAGTGCCTGATGGGAGTAGCTCAAGGGCAAGGCATTAATGCAAGCGACCCTTTTATTTCCTGTCCCCAACCCAAGCAGCTCCATGTGTATCCAAGCCCGCTGACTCTGCTCCTTGGGTTAGCAGGAAAAAGTAACCTCTGCCCTGGACTGGGACCAAGGCTCTGTATTTTTGAATATGGTGTTGGGAACAGGGGAGTCTGGGGTGGTCTTATACCCCTGACTGACTGCCTTCAGAGGGGTATTCTGCAGCCTGTTGGTCCACTTGTTCCTTCCCTGTCCATGAAACAATATCTCTGGGGCTGGGGTGAAGCCAGAGGGCTGACTGCTGCATGGACACTTGAGTCCATTCCCTGCATGGAAGCCTCAGGCTGTCCTAGCCCCCACAGACCATGTCTGTTGTCACTCTCCCCCTCCCCCCGCCCATGGTTACGCAGTGCTCAGTCAGGTTACTCGGGCAAGGGACTGTGGACTGGTTTGCCTTTGCATTTGGTCAAATCCTGAGAGCTGCTGAGCGCCCCTGACTGCTATTGACTCCAATCAGAGTTGCAGGGACTTAGCACTTCCCAAGATTTAGCCCCTGGCTTTTTTTAATGTATGTTTCCCCTTAAATTTCTAACGTGATCTCAGCATAGTTGTCTAATTTCACCATTTTTGTGTTTACTCTTTTTTTTTTACCCCCAACATGGCTTCCCTTAGCATTGTGATAAAACATTTTGCCCTTGTTTTACACCCAAAGCTCTGACAGAAGTCATTAAAAGAAAAATTCCAGTTAAAACAAATGTGATTATTTTTTTATTTAAATAACCTTAGCTTTGATTTCTGATTAGTTTGCCACCTTGATGAATCACATCTAGCGCAAAACTAAAACCCTAACACACAAACACTTATCAAATCATTAAAATCAAACTAACAGTATTGGTTGGTTAATATAGTAAATGTTCAAAACCTTTACCCAAGAAAGATCTGAAGTTTATGCCCAGAATAGTAACCTTTACAATAGACACAAAGTTTCCACCCCTTCCAAAAATTGTCAACAGTTTTTTTTCTGTTTGACATTTGCTCACCATCACATCCCTCACTTTAATACTTTGTTAGCATGTTTCTAAGCATATTTGCAAAACAAGAAGTTTCAGAACCTAAAATCCAGGCAAAACTGCTAGCTTTAGGGGTCACTTTCAGAAGGCCAGACTGTGCGACTGCCTTACCCTTGGCAAGTGGGGGACACACATCCCTTCAGTGGGACCAGCGTGAGTAAGGAGTTCACAATCTAGCTCTTAATCTTCGCAGGAGAATGAAAAAGCTAACCTATTCCATGCTTTTCTTGATAAAAGGAAAGTGCTCCTTACCTCATCATGCTCCTTGAAGGGCAGAACATAACATTGAGAATGAAATAATAAAGGCCTGGTGGTTAATTATTTACTTTATAATTAAAAATGTACCAATCACTAACCAGGATCCCTAGAGGTTAACTGCGCATTTAATTTACAGCTCATTTTCCAAAAGTTGGGTATGAAATTGTTCATCACAAATCTGTTAGTATTTTGGGAATTCATGGGATTTTTAGAAAACAACATACCTTCTTTTAAACTCCCATAAAACCACGGGAGTCTTGTCATTGATTTAATTGGGAGCAGGACTGGGCCTTAATCATGAATGATAATTCAAGATGAATGTTAGTGCAAAGGAAACATTGGGGTTCATTAGGATGAAGGGTGTGTTGTTGAGTGTTTCCATACTATATCCTTACTTTCAGGGATTTATCCATTTCAGTTTTCGATCTGACATTTAATTAACTATGCTTTGTAGTAAAGTTAGTTGAGTTATGCATGCATGACTGACTTAGTTATCAGGGGAATGTGTGTGTCTTGCAAAATGTGCATTGAATGAGATGGTGTTCTGCAGGAACTGTTAGTGGCTTGACCACTGCCACTTATTCCTTGAATATAATATTAATTTGATCTCTGCACCCCATTTATTTGAAAGTTAAAAAATTGTGTATTAACTTAACTATGAAAAAGAAACAAAAGAACTGTGTGTTGTTGTTGTTTTTTTAAAGTGGGACATTCCAAAAACGTTGTTTACAAAGCAGTGACAACTCCAGCTGTGCTAAACAGTCTCCTAGCAAGTTTAACTGTCTAGTAGAGAATTCCTTGCTTCATAGACAAATTCTCCAATGGTGCAGGGTTAATATAATTAGGGTTACCATTCGTCCGGATTCTGCCGGACATGTCCGGCTTTTTTGAGTTAAAAATAGTGTCCAGGGGGGATTTGTAAATGTCCGGATTTCCCCCCCATGCAGAGCGCGCGTGGCTGACAGGGCAGCCGGCCGGATCCTGCCACTCGCACGGGGCTCCGGCAGCCAGAGCCCTTCCTCCACTTCCCCCTCCTCTCCCCTGCAACTTGAGACCACTCCCCTCCTCTCTCTTCCCCCCCCCCCCCCGTATTCGCAGATCGCTGGCCGGCCGTTCGCCTCCGGCAGTCTGGAGCTCCGACCCTGCTCCCCTCCCCCTGCTGCCGAGCGCGCTGCTCTGCAGCACGGTAAGGGGGCCAGGGGGTCAGAGAAGCGGCAGGGAGGTTTTGAAGGGGGTAGTCAAGAGACAGGGAGCAGGGGGAGGGTTGGATGGGTCAGGAGTTCGGGGGGGGCGGTCTGGGGGTTGGGGGTGTAATGTTTTGGGCAGTCAGAGTACCGGTG